GTCTGTGGTGTGATGACCGTGTATCAGAGCACGTCTGTGGTGTGATGACCCTGTATCAGAGCATGTCTGTGGTGTGATGACCCTGTATCAGAGCATGTCTGTGGTGTGATGACCCTGTATCAGAGCATGTCTGTGGTGTGATGACCCTGTATCAGAGCATGTCTGTGGTGTGATGACCCTGTATCAGAGCATGTCTGTGGTGTGATGACCCTGTATCAGAGCATGTCTGTGGTGTGATGACCCTGTATCAGAGCATGTCTGTGGTGTGATGACCCTGTATCAGAGCATGTCTGTGGTGTGATGACCCTGTATCAGAGCATGTCTGTGGTGTGGTGACCCTGTATCAGAGCATGTCTGTGGTGTGATGACCCTGTATCAGAGCATGTCTGTGGTGTGATGACCCTGTATCAGAGCATGTCTGTGGTGTGATGACCCTGTATCAGAGCATGTCTGTGGTGTGATGACCCTGTATCAGAGCATGTCTGTGGTGTGATGACCCTGTATCAGAGCATGTCTGTGGTGTGATGACCCTGTATCAGAGCATGTCTGTGGTGTGATGACCCTGTATCAGAGCATGTCTGTGGTGTGATGACCCTGTATCAGAGCATGTCTGTGGTGTGATGACCCTGTATCAGAGCATGTCTGTGGTGTGATGACCCTGTATCAGAGCATGTCTGTGGTGTGATGACCCTGTATCAGGGCACGTCTGTGGTTTGATGACCCTGTATCAGAGCATGTCTGTGGTGTGATGACCGTGTATCAGAGCACGTCTGTGGTGTGATGACCCTGTATCAGAGCATGTCTGTGGTGTGATGACCGTGTATCAGAGCACGTCTGTGGTGTGATGACCCTGTATCAGAGCATGTCTGTGGTGTGATGACCCTGTATCAGGGCACGTCTGTGGTTTGATGACCCTGTATCAGAGCATGTCTGTGGTGTGATGACCGTGTATCAGAGCACGTCTGTGGTGTGATGACCCTGTATCAGAGCATGTCTGTGGTGTGATGACCGTGTATCAGAGCACGTCTGTGGTGTGATGACCCTGTATCAGAGCATGTCTGTGGTGTGATGACCCTGTATCAGAGCATGTCTGTGGTGTGATGACCCTGTATCAGAGCATGTCTGTGGTGTGATGACCCTGTATCAGAGCATGTCTGTGGTGTGATGACCCTGTATCAGAGCATGTCTGTGGTGTGATGACCCTGTATCAGAGCATGTCTGTGGTGTGATGACCCTGTATCAGAGCATGTCTGTGGTGTGATGACCCTGTATCAGAGCATGTCTGTGGTGTGATGACCCTGTATCAGAGCATGTCTGTGGTGTGGTGACCCTGTATCAGAGCATGTCTGTGGTGTGATGACCCTGTATCAGAGCATGTCTGTGGTGTGATGACCCTGTATCAGAGCATGTCTGTGGTGTGATGACCCTGTATCAGAGCATGTCTGTGGTGTGATGACCCTGTATCAGAGCATGTCTGTGGTGTGATGACCCTGTATCAGAGCATGTCTGTGGTGTGATGACCCTGTATCAGAGCATGTCTGTGGTGTGATGACCCTGTATCAGAGCATGTCTGTGGTGTGATGACCCTGTATCAGAGCATGTCTGTGGTGTGATGACCCTGTATCAGAGCATGTCTGTGGTGTGATGACCCTGTATCAGAGCATGTCTGTGGTGTGATGACCCTGTATCAGAGCATGTCTGTGGTGTGATGACCCTGTATCAGAGCATGTCTGTGGTGTGGTGACCCTGTATCAGAGCATGTCTGTGGTGTGATGACCCTGTATCAGAGCATGTCTGTGGTGTGATGACCCTGTATCAGAGCATGTCTGTGGTGTGATGACCCTGTATCAGAGCATGTCTGTGGTGTGATGACCCTGTATCAGAGCATGTCTGTGGTGTGATGACCCTGTATCAGAGCATGTCTGTGGTGTGATGACCCTGTATCAGAGCATGTCTGTGGTGTGATGACCCTGTATCAGAGCATGTCTGTGGTGTGATGACCCTGTATCAGAGCATGTCTGTGGTGTGATGACCCTGTATCAGAGCATGTCTGTGGTGTGATGACCCTGTATCAGAGCATGTCTGTGGTGTGATGACCCTGTATCAGAGCATGTCTGTGGTGTGGTGACCCTGTATCAGAGCATGTCTGTGGTGTGATGACCCTGTATCAGAGCATGTCTGTGGTGTGATGACCCTGTATCAGAGCATGTCTGTGGTGTGGTGACCCTGTATCAGAGCATGTCTGTGGTGTGGTGACCCTGTATCAGAGCACGTCTGTGGTGTGATGACCCTGTATCAGAGCATGTCTGTGGTGTGGTGACCCTGTATCAGAGCATGTCTGTGGTGTGGTGACCCTGTATCAGAGCATGTCTGTGGTGTGATGACCCTGTATCAGAGCATGTCTGTGGTGTGATGACCCTGTATCAGAGCATGTCTGTGGTGTGATGACCCTGTATCAGAGCATGTCTGTGGTGTGATGACCCTGTATCAGAGCATGTCTGTGGTGTGATGACCCTGTATCAGAGCATGTCTGTGGTGTGGTGACCCTGTATCAGAGCATGTCTGTGGTGTGATGACCCTGTATCAGAGCATGTCTGTGGTGTGATGACCCTGTATCAGAGCATGTCTGTGGTGTGGTGACCCTGTATCAGAGCATGTCTGTGGTGTGGTGACCCTGTATCAGAGCACGTCTGTGGTGTGATGACCCTGTATCAGAGCATGTCTGTGGTGTGATGACCTTGTATCAGAGCACGTCTGTGGTGTGATGACCCTGTATCAGAGCATGTCTGTGGTGTGATGACCCTGTATCAGAGCATGTCTGTGGTGTGATGACCCTGTATCAGGGCACGTCTGTGGTTTGATGACCCTGTATCAGAGCATGTCTGTGGTGTGATGACCGTGTATCAGAGCACGTCTGTGGTGTGATGACCCTGTATCAGAGCATGTCTGTGGTGTGATGACCGTGTATCAGAGCACGTCTGTGGTGTGATGACCCTGTATCAGAGCATGTCTGTGGTGTGATGACCCTGTATCAGAGCATGTCTGTGGTGTGATGACCGTGTATCAGAGCATGTCTGTGGTGTGGTGACCCTGTATCAGAGCATGTCTGTGGTGTGGTGACCCTGTATCAGAGCACGTCTGTGGTGTGATGACCCTGTATCAGAGCATGTCTGTGGTGTGATGACCCTGTATCAGAGCATGTCTGTGGTGTGATGACCGTGTATCAGAGCATGTCTGTGGTGTGGTGACCCTGTATCAGAGCATGTCTGTGGTGTGGTGACCCTGTATCAGAGCACGTCTGTGGTGTGATGACCCTGTATCAGAGCATGTCTGTGGTGTGGTGACCCTGTATCAGAGCATGTCTGTGGTGTGGTGACCCTGTATCAGAGCATGTCTGTGGTGTGGTGACCCTGTATCAGAGCACGTCTGTGGTGTGGTGACCCTGTATCAGAGCATGTCTGTGGTGTGATGACCCTGTATCAGAGCATGTCTGTGGTGTGATGACCCTGTATCAGAGCATGTCTGTGGTGTGGTGACCCTGTATCAGAGCATGTCTGTGGTGTAATGACCCTGTATCAGAGCATGTCTGTGGTGTGATGACCCTGTATCAGAGCATGTCTGTGGTGTGATGACCCTGTATCAGAGCATGTCTGTGGTGTGATGACCCTGTATCAGAGCATGTCTGTGGTGTGATGACCCTGTATCAGAGCATGTCTGTGGTGTGATGACCCTGTATCAGAGCATGTCTGTGGTGTGATGACCCTGTATCAGAGCATGTCTGTGGTGTGATGACCCTGTATCAGAGCATGTCTGTGGTGTGATGACCCTGTATCAGAGCATGTCTGTGGTGTGATGACCCTGTATCAGAGCATGTCTGTGGTGTGATGACCCTGTATCAGAGCATGTCTGTGGTGTGGTGACCCTGTATCAGAGCATGTCTGTGGTGTGATGACCCTGTATCAGAGCATGTCTGTGGTGTGATGACCCTGTATCAGAGCATGTCTGTGGTGTGATGACCCTGTATCAGAGCATGTCTGTGGTGTGATGACCCTGTATCAGAGCATGTCTGTGGTGTGATGACCCTGTATCAGAGCATGTCTGTGGTGTGATGACCCTGTATCAGAGCATGTCTGTGGTGTGATGACCCTGTATCAGAGCATGTCTGTGGTGTGGTGACCCTGTATCAGAGCATGTCTGTGGTGTGATGACCCTGTATCAGAGCATGTCTGTGGTGTGATGACCCTGTATCAGAGCATGTCTGTGGTGTGATGACCCTGTATCAGAGCATGTCTGTGGTGTGATGACCCTGTATCAGAGCATGTCTGTGGTGTGATGACCCTGTATCAGAGCATGTCTGTGGTGTGATGACCCTGTATCAGAGCACGTCTGTGGTGTGATGACCTTGTATCAGAGCACGTCTGTGGTGTGATGACCCTGTATCAGAGCATGTCTGTGGTGTGGTGACCGTGTGCCACTATTAAACTCATAATGCTGTCACTTTGCCTATTTTGACTATGCAGTACCTACAACAGACATTTGCTGGTGTGGCGGTGACCTGACTACGCTGACTACACACAAGCTACACACCTGGGGTGGGCAGGGGAAACAGTTACCCCATAACCCATTTTCCATTTTCCAAAAATGTCTTGCCCTGAAAAATGCAACGTACAGAAGCGAACCCCCGATTGCACCGCAGACAAGAATACCTATAGGACCTCTCTGTTAGTGACTATTGACTGCATTCTCGTTGAATTGCCTGAAAAAACCCAAAAATCTATAAATGAGTAAAGGGCGCCACCTTTTCACGGGGAGGGGGGGGGGTGAATAAGAGTAGGGGCCCTGCGCACCCCTACCCAGCTTTCGCTAGAACCCTGATAAACTGATTTTGTCAAAGCCTAGCATGCACTGAACAATAATGATACTGGCCATAAGAGAAAATCTAAAATGGTGCCAATGGGAATGGCGCATGTCGCTGGAAGTATCAAGAACAAAATGCTTACGGGTGTCATCTCCAGCAGCTTCTCCTTTAGGAGATCAGCCAGCTCCTGGTGGGCCAGCTTCTCACTCTCTTTCAGAGCGGACACAAACTGACGGAACGCCTGCTTGCCACAGCCCGGCAGTGCTTCCAAGAAGACAGTTGCCTGAGACACAACATTCCAATAGAAAATACCCAGACAACATGCATTTTTAGCAATTTTCTATCCACTTGCAAACACCACATTTCTGATCTTCAATATGTAACCCCTCGCTTTGCCAAGCTGTAGCTCAGTAGCCGCCTGTCCAAATACATACATGGCCAGCTGTACACAGCTAGATGATGTTACTATTTGTGCCATTACAAGCAAGATCGGTGTTTTCCAGGTACAGCCAAATGATTTTCTTCTCCAAAATCCTAAAAATTGTATTTAGCCCCGCACACCCCAGTCTTGCTGCTACCTGCCAATGTATGCTGACCGCAGGATAATCAGCCACAACAAACATACTCTCTACACCTTGTTATGGAACTTCAGTCACGCAGGCATGCACGCCAACTCGACCAACAGGCAGTACGAAAGTAATTATTAGTTGTTATTCAGGGAAGAACATTTCCTGAGAGAGAGAGAGAGAGAAAACAAGTTGAGAGCAAAACGACAACATAAGAACTACTAATGAACTCATGGCAAAGAGTTCCCAAAAGGCAACTGAGTACAGCCAACTCAGATGCATATGGATTATCGGGCTAGAGCGATACTGAGTGCGGTGGTACGACTTCTACGCACAGCATGCCAGACTCGCAACAACGCACTATACCGGAACTAACGATAGCATGATAAGACTGAAAGCGTGCATACAGCAAGCAATGCAAAACAAAGGAAACACATCCATGCATCGTGTGCAGCAGACCACGATGATTGATGAAAGAGCAAACTGTCATACTGGGTGAAACACTACCCATGTAGGCTTACAGCATGATCAATAAATAGTGAAGCAATAGACAGATAGATAGGTTCAGTTATATATATATATTACACCTCTCCCCTTGATGACATTAGTCACGGAACCGCTGAGTAGGACGGATTGCAGCCCGCCGACGAAGTCCGTAGGCTTGGTCAAGCTGCGGATCCATGTCGATTTGGATGATAGCAGGGATGTCATCACGATCATCAGCAGAGTCAACATCTGCATCTGCGGCAATGGGATGAGGGTCGAGCTTGATCAGGTCGACATTCACAACTTTCTCAGCATTGCGACCATGTACAGGTTCACACCGTCGAATCACCACAGTCGAGGGGGACAGAACACGAATGACTTGCCAACCAGGTTCATACATCGGTAGACGCTTCTGGTGACGGTCAGGACGGCGGAGAAGAACGTGATCACCAGTGTGATAGACAGGCACAGTCTCCTCTTGGATGCGGTCAGCGTCGGATAACTCGGATTCCACGAGGTCGCGCAGTCGAGCACACCGAGCAGGGTGATCCCGAGACCAGTTGCTGCTATCATGCACAGTCCGATCTGGATCAGCGATCAACTGGTGGGGTGTCCAACCACAGATGGCTTCCATCGGCGAAATCTTGGTTGCGGAATGAGGTCGGTTACGATAGAAGTACAGCAGTGTGTTCAGATCAGCATTCCAGTCAGACGATTCGGATAGAACCTTCCTCATCAGAGTCAGCAGTGTCCCGTTGAATCGTTCAACACAGCCCTGCGATTGGGGATGGCGTACTGCTCGAGTTTGGATGGTGACTCCAAACATAGCAAACACAGAGCGGACGATAGCATTGATGAACTCAGTGCCATTGTCGAGACGGACCATATCAGGGGGACCCCAGCGAGTGCAAATCTGCACGAATGAATCAGCCACGGATTGCGCATCGTGACGGCGTAGCGGAGCCACTTCCACCCATTTCGAGAATATGTCGATGCAAACCAGAACGGAATGGAACTCACCAGATTTACTTGCGCCAAGTTCCAGGGTGTCCAGCTGGATGACACTCCAGGGTCGGTCCGGCAGTACGGTGCGAGTCGGAGGAGGAATCTGACCACGGCGAGGGTTAGCGCAGCAGCAGTGCGCACAGCAGCGTACGATTTCTTGGCAGCGTTCAGCCATTCTCGGGAAATAGCAGTGTCGGCGGAGAGTGCGATACATGGACTCCCATGCGCCATGCCCAGTGTTGTTGTGCGCCCTGTCCAGTGGCTCATCAGTCAGTGATCCGGGAACCACCGGCACTTCAGCGATGTCACCATCGGGCAATTTCACGCTTCGGCGAAGCAGGCCAGCCTTCACGACCAGCTGAGCAGCAACTCTCCGGTAGCATGCAGCCGACACAGGAAGCCCATTGGATACCTCGTGAATGGCAGCCAGAATCAGTCCATCGTTCTGCCGCGCTGCGCGGATGGTGGCAACAGCCATGGGCGGGGCCACGGCGGGATTAGTGGTATCACCAGCAACAGCACACATGTCAGACTTGGCACGGCAGAGCTTCAACCATGGAGTTGGTACTCTTGTCAGCCGATCAGCCAAGTTGCGTTCAGAGGGCACCCATTCGACCACAACAGACAGGCCAGTGAGGCGGACAAGCTCGTCGATAGCTTGCAAGCGGCGTTGGACGAGCACATCGTACAGCCCGCTGATCTTGACACGGCGGATGTCATGCAGCAGGTTATACAGCCAACCATGCACGGTCTTGGAGTCGGTCAGGAGGCGCACACTCGCGAGGCCGTAGGCGGTGGCACGCTGAAGGCCACTCATCACCGAATCAAGTTCGGCGACATTGATGTGCGTACGATCATCCTTCGGACGCAGCCAGCACGCATCCTCGATCACATCTGCACCGCATTGCACCACAATTCCGGTGGCAATGTTGGATGCGTCGCACCATACTGACCATGGTGCAGCAGGTGGAGCGGACCAGGCACCGTGTACCGGATCTTCTCCTTCAACGCGACCAGACAGCTCTTGGCAGAGGCTTACTACTTCTGGTGGTACCCTGGCGTCCCAGCCTCCAGGAGTGAGCGAGTCAGCCAATCTCTTCAGGTAGCTAGTGTATGGCCTGAGCCAGGAGCACACAGGGTTGTGATCAAGCAGGCGACCACACCAGCGGAACACATCGCGCTTCGTTGGGCTCGCTGGGCAGCAGAGGTCGACATCTCGTCGTCGCCACTGCAGGACGTCGTTCGAGCTGTGAAGCTGGAGACCAAGGACGCGGGCTGATCGCAAGCATTCAGCAGGTTTGGTGGGTAGGCCAAACTTCACCATCTCATCTTCCACCGTGGTGACGAGATCATCAGGCACGAACAAGTCGTCAACATAGCTGTCTACAGTAGGGTAGGGGCCAGTGACGTACTGTACGATCAGGCTCATCAGCTTTGGCGCAATCCCAAGGCCGAAGCCCATGCGCATCATGACGTACGGCTTGCCCTTGTAAATGACGGTCTGGAACCTCGCCAGCGACGGATCAAGACGGACCTGCAGGTACGCCTTCCGTATATCCAGGATGTGGAAATTGTCACCAGCCTGTCGCCAGCTGCGCAGCTTCTCACCGCACACAGGGGTGTTGCACCCAGGGTGGTTGCGGATGAGCTGGTTCAGCCCACGGTAGTCCAGTACAGGGCGAACCGGTGTTGAGGCCTTGTGCTCTTGGCACTTCGCAATCAACGGGAGGATGGCGCCCGGTGGTCCGTGAACATCCGCATCGTGTGGTACCAGCCAGCCTTGCTGGATCCAGGCATCTACTTCAGCATTGAACTGCAGCTCCTGATTGGCGGTGAGTTTGGCGCGGGGATATTCGCCAATCCCTGACCCAATTGGTTCAGCAGGTGGCATGTTGTCCCTCCAGTGCCACTTCATGCTCCAGTAGCCGGCGGCTGCATTCCAGTGCACCTCGCCATCATCAACACTTAGTGTGACATCGTCACCAGAGTGGTTGACCGTAACGTGGCGGGACAGCTTGGAGGTGCGAGCAGTGCTGTCAGCAGGCTTAGGTGGCACATCAGTGGCAGCCCTAACAGCAGCAGACACAGCGGCACAGCCAAATGAGACGGACGACAGACAGCCGTCAGCGTATTGCAGGTGCATACCTCCAGCGCGGGTCACTACATCGTTGCCGACGACCATGTCGGTGTTCAGGACACTCAAGTCTGGGACAACCAGCACAGATACGGCAGTCAGTAGGTCCAAGTGCACAGGTCCGTCGAGTCGACGGAGGTTCAGCAGGACGCTACCCAGTATCTTCAGCGATTCACCGTTGAGGGCGAGCATGTTGTCCGGACACTGTTCCATGTAACGCAGGCCATTGCACTTCTGGAGTGCGGCACGGCTGATGAGAGAGCGCGTGCAACCAGTGTCCACCACAGAACTCAGGCGAGTCCACTCGTCGTGTTTTTCTCGGCAGGCATCGACGTACACTCGGATAAGGGAAGACGATGATGTAGTCAGGGCCAAACAGCAATCGGTTTTTCCTCCTGGCTGGTCAGAAACACCAGCAGACGCAGTGCCCCGTGTTCTCCTGGTCGGGCAGTTTCTCCGGATGTGGCCTAGCTCGTGACAATGATGGCAACGAACTCGGCTGCTCTTCGAGGAAGATGGGCCTGCTGATGAGCTCTGCGTGGAGGGTTCCCGGTTCCCAGCACGGCAGGTCTTCTTGACATGCCCAGTTTTCCCGCACGTGTAACAATACAAAGACTTCGCTGGTTCGGTGGCAGCAGCGCCAATGGCATGCGATGATGCAGCGCTTTCAACCAGTTGCAAAGCGCGAACCTTCTCTGTCACGTCACTGACGGAGAGGGCCTGTCCAGCACCCTGCAAACGAATGTCTCGCGCGAACGTCGGTGGCAAGCCACAAATCACCTGCTCCAAAAGGACCGGGTCCTTATCGTCTGTAATCTTGTGGCCAGCTAAGCTCAAGTGGTGCTTCAGGTCAGCAACGTAGCCGTCCACAGCCTCATCAGGGCGCAGGCGACGGGACAGGAACTGCTGATAAGAATCAGCAGGTGCAGGCGCGAAGGCCTTTTCAAGTAGCGCTTTCACGGTTGCCTCCTTTTTCCTGTCCGCCTCCGCCATGGACATGAAGACTTTGAACGCCTGGCCATCTAGGACCAGGGGCAGGTGCTGCATCCGTTTTTCCTCCGTGTCCCACTTTTGAATATCCGCCAGTACACGGAACTTCGACCAAAACGTCTCCAGGTCATCTCCTTTTCCGCGGAACGTCCGCAGGAATCCATCGAGTTTCAGCGACATTATTTCCAAATCAAGGCCCACCACCAAACGACAACACAGTCGCACCAGGTATCAGCGGGTTTCGGTACCAGATGTTATGGAACTTCAGTCACGCAGGCATGCACGCCAACTCGACCAACAGGCAGTACGAAAGTAATTATTAGTTGTTATTCAGGGAAGAACATTTCAGAGAGAGAGAGAGAAAACAAGTTGAGAGCAAAACGACAACATAAGAACTACTAATGAACTCATGGCAAAGAGTTCCCAAAAGGCAACTGAGTACAGCCAACTCAGATGCATATGAATTATCGGGCTAGAGCGATACTGAGTGCGGTGGTACGACTTCTACGCACAGCATGCCAGACTCGCAACAACGCACTATACCGGAACTAACGATAGCATGATAAGACTGAAAGCGTGCATACAGCAAGCAATGCAAAACAAAGGAAACACATCCATGCATCGTGTGCAGCAGACCACGATGATTGATGAAAGAGCAAACTGTCATACTGGGTGAAACACTACCCATGTAGGCTTACAGAATGATCAATGAATAATGAAGCAATAGACAGATAGATAGGTTCAGTTATATATACATTACAACCTACTTTCAGTTAAAGGGGAAGTATACCCTTAAATCAAATTTTCACCAATAATATTATTGTAGTCTTCTGGGTGCTGAGTCGAATGGTCTTGGTCCGAGGAAGCTGCGACGCTCCCTTCCTTCTTTTTTCCCAATCGAACCCGCGCACTTCCACCGAAACTGGGTGACTGCGCCCTACTAGATGGGGATTTGTATGAAAAATCTCACTAAAAGTGCTATGTCGTTCTTATAAAAGCACGGATGACCGCGATTGGCCCATATGTTGTAGTCTTTTGGACGCTGAGTCGACTGGTTTTGGTCCGAAAAGGCTGCGATGCAGCGTTCCTCCTTTATTCCCAATCGAACATGGTTGAACAAGCGGTCACGTGCTCCTGGGTGCCCAAATCACCTGGTCACCACGCCAGCAGGCGACAACTTTCACACCAAGGTTCAACTCGAGTTCAACTCGAGTGACAGGACTGCACCCAAAAAAGGTCAAACAGGCTAGTAAGTTGTACCCTGCAGGCACGGTGACCAGGTGACTGGCGTACGCAGGAGCACGTGACCGCTTGTTCAACCATGTTCGATTGGGAATAACGGCGGAACGCTGCATCGCAGCCTTTTGGGACCAAAACCAGTCGACTCAGCGTCCAAAAGACTACAACATATGGGCAAATCGCGGTCATCCGTGCTTTTATAAGAACGAAATGGCGCTTTTAGTGACATTTTGCATACAAATCCCCATCTCGTAGGGCGCAGTCACCCAGTTTCGGTGGAAGTGCGCGAGTTCGATTGGGATTCAAGTAGGAAGGGAGCGTCTCAGCTTCCTCGGACCACGACCATTCGACTCAGCACCCCGAAGACTACAACTGGTGAAAATTTGATTTTAGGGTATACTTACCCTTTAAAATTCAACTTTAAATTGGCAGTAGATGTAGCTACACATCAGTAAAAGCATTACCTGATCTTCACGATCATCCATAGCACGGAGTTTCTTGCAGAAGCGCTGGGTGATGATGCTCTCTGCATAGAGACGGTCCAGAATGCCCTCTTCTACGTCCAAGCTACGCTTCAATTCCACATAGCTTGAACGCAGCACTTCCTGGAGCAGATCAGACATCTGCAGCGGGGATTGAAGGACAGATTCATGGGAATTGCTCGGGTTTCGAAAGGGCTTGGAGACAATTTGATAGCAAACTTGGTCATTACGTAATTTTCAGTAACAGCATCACTCCACAATGTGCTCTCGGCCAAGAGTGCACTTTGGAGTTAGCGCATCCTCATATCCTCAAACGTTTTCACAAGGAAGTGCCGGTGTACTGCAATGTGTGCTTCACTGTACAATCACCAAACATGCAGTTAAGTAGACTGTACAGAGCAGAGTTCTTACCCCAGTCTCAAGTTGACTACTCTTGACATTACCAGTCTGGGAGGCATCAACACTAGTCTGCATGAACAGTGTCTTGTCACCGGAACACACTGATACAGGATGCAGGTCATTGCGATGTAGTGAACACTTTCCAGGACCAGGACACACACGGAATGTCTCCACGAGCTGTGACAGACCTTGCGACGGCAGGATATCTTCAACAAAGAAGCACATTCCGTCATCGGGGAGCTTCTCCAGAAGAGCACACATGTGATCTAGAGTCTCATCTTGCCCTGCTGATTTCTGCAGGGTTCTGGTTTCCATGACGACTTCGGTACTGAGGTGACCTTCTGCACGCAAGCTCTTGACACAGTCCATCACATTGATAGCTAAGCTACTCTGTATTGCAGCATAATGCTTGCACAGCACTTGCTGGTAGGCTGTAGCTCTCTTTGGCACAGCCGCGGGCTTCTGGGCAGTTGCTGCAACTTCTGCAAGTCAAACAACCAAGGAGCACACAGTGTCAAACAGTGAGTGGAGAAAACTACTTCAAGTATAAATGTATCATTCACTCCTCTCCAGTTCATTTAATCCGGTACTAGTATCCCCACATATGGACCAAGAACAGCAAAATCACACCTCCCGGGGGCTCAAATTGCTCAGTTTTGTTTAAAGATATTGGTTGACATTGGTTGATATGTGAGCATGGAGAGGTCAAGAAAAAGAAATCGTATCTGACATTAAATGGACTCGGATGGAGAGCCAAGGATTAATCTATAAAAATGAAAATGTCAGTGCCGTGCAATGTTATCGCATGAGCTGATTGTTTAGTAACTGGTGATGTCAGTGGACATTATGGCATAACTTGTAGTTCCTTGGCCTTTTTCATTTTTATCATTTTTTTTCTCAGTTGGTCATGGTCATTGCAACAAGATTTGACATGACAAGCACATGTAGGGCTGTTAGGCTGTGATGCTGGTAGGAGCAAGTACTCAACCTATCATGTTTGGCCAGAACTCCGAGTTCAGCCTGAGCTACATGCACTATAGATCAAAGGTGGACGACAGCAGTGTCGATATTTTACATGGCATTATTTTCTGCAGCAGCAATTCATCCAGAAAACCATGACCCAATTGAAAACGATAAATTCCCAATTCCGTACTTGACTCCCTGAACACTCATCCCGTGCATACATCCTTTACTCTAGTGACTCCGAGCAAATGAATTCCGTGTATCCTTTTCCCATCAATCACCCTGTACTCTAATGACCCTGTACACATACCATACTGTCTTGTATAGAAGACTGTTTTGAAAACAAGCCTGATTTTCAAGGTGAGGTATCGGTACGCAAGCCTGGTTCTATTGAGGACATACATTTGAAATAACAGGTTTGAATACCGACCTGACTTGAATAGAAGTTTCTATAGGAATGATCCCAGTCTTATATCCAGCCTTCGTACCCGGCATTATGGTCAATTCCAGTGTGTCGTTCCCTGCGTGAACCCTACACTCTAGTGACCAGGGATAGGCAGGTTATACTAGCTTCTCGTGTCTCGTTTTCCAGCCTGCATTCCCGTATTCCACAGGGAATGTTCAATGAAATCCGAACGAGTGAATCAAGTAAGTAGTCATCGCACTGCATCAGGTCACAAACTAGTCACGGTTTGCAGGTCTAGGATTGCACAACTCCCAGCACATACTTGATTCACATGATTGGATTTCATTGAGCAGCACTGTACTTTCCAGGGTATATTTTAAACTGAACACTTTACTGAAATCATCTCACCATTGTCCTTCACTGCGGGCTCCACAACTGTCATTGGCATTGCCGGCATTGGCTTCTCCGGATCAGCAAGCTCTGCGGTCTGGAGAGAATCAGCGAAAACAGCAAGGTGGCGTGAAAACAAATAGAATTATTTACACCAGCCAATCCCCCATCCTCCTTTTTATACACTTGCACAGGATTAAAAATGATGAAGTCAGAACTCAACAGATAAACAGATAACGACTTCTGGGGCGATCTACTCCGATAGTATAGCAAAGTACATACCGTATTTTCCGGGGTATAAGCCGCACGCCCCTTTTTGAGGCAAAATATTGACTAAAAGTTGGTATTCGGAGTATAAGCCGCACCCACAAACCAAGATTTTTCACACTCATTGACAAATGGCCTTTCTACACATTTATTATGGTTATGGAGCTAAATACCATGTTAGATCAGAGTATTATGAGTATTAGATCAGATTATGAAGTGTTAGTGCACCACAGGTTGCTGCAGAGATGTTGGTGTATTGCTGTGTTGACTACAGATCACTCCATGTCATCTGCACTATCTTCAGTCTCGCTGCCACTGATGTTGATCAGCAACACAGGCGCGAAGCTGAGTCGAATGACATGTCACATGACGTCAGCATGCATACTGATGTATGCTAAGCATTCATTCGCGCAAGCATATTCGGTGTATAAGCCGCAGGGGCGATTTTGGTCCGATTTTTAGCGAAAAAAAGTGCGGCTTATACCCCGGAAAATACGGTATCTGACAGGTAGGCCGTCATTGTGTCAAGTGCAGGTGTACTGAATTGGATTCAGTGCCAGAAGTTGGTCCCCACTACTGGGGGGTTGGGAGCAGTACAGTTAGTGTGGGTAGATTTGTCACCCTACGGAGAAGGAAACAACTCAAATGTGCATGGATCCATACAAAACTAGATACAATTGGATCGTAAATTCAGCGCTATCATGACCCTGGCCTGGTTGTGGTATAGCACTTTCAAGCCCTATTGCATTTGTCCACATCAACTCCTTATGTTTCTATTGCTATTGTCTTGCAAGTGCAAAATATACTTCTACTCATACCGGGAGTCAAGACTACTGCAAAACGGGAAAATTTAGGAGAAGATTTATTTTCAGTAACTTCAGTCCAGGTAATTAATACCTAAAATAAAACGGGAATTTAAATTCAACAATGCCATGCCACACAGTGTGAGAAATGCATTTTTGGATCTGGAAAACTGATTTACCGAAGCGTTGATTTTGGGAAATACCGAAAATATTACACCACCGAAATTCCCGCCTTTACATTATGGTAGAAATGCAATCAAGTAAAATCTTTTCTCAAAGATTTGGGTTAGATGGACTTGTTGACTCAGGGTTCTACAACAATTATACCATACACTATAACAATATGCACATGCATATCAGTCTCTCGTCACAAGGTGGTTGTCATGGAAACAGCAACCCCTGAGCCAGCGAGTGCATGCTGTATTGTGCAATATTACCTACACTGGTTTGGGTTAGAGTACAGTGTGATTGTTTGGTACGGGAGCCGGAAGATTTAGAAACACTTCCAGATCAGGGCAACTGAGAAAAAGAGATTGCCCTCCCAGCCCTAACAGCTGCACCATTCTGACATGTACTGGCCTTGTACATATACATACACACGGGCGGGCTGTAAACGCAAAGCATGGGGAAAATATATTGAGGAAAACTGAATATGACCTCTTTTTAGTTTTTACCTGTGTGTCTTTGGCAAAGCATGGCCAGTATTGGCGTACATCACTGATATCCACTTCTGGGCGTCCTCCGATAGTGCAACGTGGACGTAATCCCTCCACCAGTGGAGCAAAGTGCTGACAGCCAATCTCTGCACAACCCTTCTTCTTGTGCTTGCGACATGCATCTCGGCTGAACGAGCATGGACAGCGAACAGCTCTGCTGAACTTCACATGAGTCAGGGAGAATGCCTTCAGCTTTTCGAGCTCCGACTCCAGGTACGGCAGAAGCTCATGACAAAGCTTGACTGCAGCGGACTCATCCTCGCTTGCTGCAGTGCCAACGCCAGGAGAGCCAATTGACTTGTCCACGCGAGTGACAGCATCAGTAGAAGAAGACTTAGCCTTGCCAGCTGCGACAGGAATCTCCAGTGACAGGCGAATGCCATGGTGGAAATACTGCATGACCAGCCAGAAGCGATCCTTCACCAGAATGCGTGCCGATGTGTGATAGAGGATTGGATCCACCTTTGGACTGTAGCGTTGCATACACCTCACAACAGCACACCAGAACAGGGTTTGTGGAAAGTAACGATCTGCACCACTATACAGGTACATAGCTGGACTTGGCTTGCCTTTGCTCAATTCATCTTGAAGACGCGCAACTCGCTCCACCAGAGCTGGTACAAAGAACTTGCGAGTTGTCACCTCCTTTCTCTGACCAGGCACGCTCACAGTTGTCTTGGTGTTGTAGAACAGGGCAAAGTGCTCACCCATCTCAAACAGGAAATCACGCTGTTCTTCTGTGGCCGTGTAGCGTGATGTCATACGATTGTGCTGTGACCAGCGGTGCATGGCCAGGCTTTCAAGGAGGATGCCATCCTGAGTCAGCAAATCGTATTGTGGACGTAGACGCTTGCTCTGCATATCCTTTGGTTCAGGACAAAAGAGCAGTGACATCGTCTTCAGAACCCAGTGGATGTCAATGATCACACGATCACGAAGACGGGCATTGTGAACAAAGTGAAGCAAATGACCAAGACCACGGTGAAACTTCACCATCTCCTGGAAATCGGACTCCAAATCCTCACTGGAGATGCTGCCAACAGCAATGGCCAAGCGGCGTAGCTCGTCAACCGATAACCATGGTCGTTCAAATGATTTTGCAATGTGCCCAATGGAGATAGTTACAGGAAGCCAACGAAGTGGAATGGGAACGCTGAACTGATGCTGCAGCTGCTGGACGATGTCTTGCCGTAGCTGAACAACTGCTGGGTCTTCTGGATCCTTGCCAGCTCGTGTGTTGTCCACAAATACCACCTTGTCAATGTCGTTTGCATAGGCCTTACCATCTGCATTGGCCAATATGTACTTCTTTATCTCTTCAGTTGTCTTCTTCCTTGCTTCTGGATTCTTTGGTAACTTGTCCACATGTGTGCCAATGGCGAACACGGGTACGTTGTCGCTGTCTCCAATAACCTCGTGGATAGTGTTGAACCACGTCTCCATCACATCAAAGTTGGTCTGCTCCAGGCTGTTGGAAAGCGGCAGTTCCTCACCGTCTACACCAAACGTCGGCTTCGCTCTATCCTGGAGCTTCTTTGAGGCATCAAAGACGACAGCATATGCACACCGATCACAGGCCAGGACCATGTGTTGGATGGCTGCAAACGGCTTCTGACCAGCAAAGTCCCAGACATCTATGAATGTCAGGTTCTTCAGATGCTCTGCAGTGAAAACTTCACTTTTGCCTTTCTTCAGATCTTCAAGGAAGCCTTCAAACTTCAGCGTGGCTGAGTTGATCTCCGTCTGTAGCTGCTGCACATCTTGCTCTGCTGTTGCTACCTGTTCTACACTCATGGTTGAGACCTCCTCCGGCTTGGATGCAGTGGGAACATTCTGAGAGTCCATGGTTTCGGATGAACTGGTAGCTGATTGACCAGAGTACCCGGTGTGGGTGGCTTCATCACGTTGGCTGATAGCAGATTCACACACACTGGCTGTATCTGCTTGTTCAGTCTCAATCACAGCGGATTGTGATGTTATGGGTGTTGATGGCATGGAGGATGTGGACCTGGTGTTCTTTGGGATCTCCACACCTCGTTGTCTCAGAGCTGCTACTATCTCTTTCTTCCTTTGCTCTTGTCCAACAGCTCTGTGCGTCAGGGCCAACTGCTGCTGGTAAGAATCTTCAGCTTGCTTCCAGACATACTTTAACCCTTGCTTCTCGATCGTGCACATCACCTTCTCCAGCTCCACACCGATGGTACTATCGACCTTTGACATGAATGCTTGACGCAAGAGGGATCGCAGGAAGCTGCTCTTGCCTGTGCGGCCCGGCCCGCACATTATCAGGCGCCCGTACGGTATCAGCTGGACACCTTCCTTGATCAGCTCACTTAGTGCTGCTGCGTACTGGCCATTATCAGCTGCACAATACACATACACCAGAACAAAGCACAACACATGTGATGTAGATATGAGGAAGAATTTATTGAAGAAAATGGGAAGGATGTTCAAGATGAATTGGGTTTGGCTAGTGTACAACACCCAGAATAATCCTATTTCAGCACCAGAATTTCAACATGAACAGTTTAGCAGGACCATTTGAGCACAAGACTTTCATTGGAATGTAACTGACTGCTGTGAATTTAAGCAAATGAAACCTTAGAAGAGGATGGTATGAGCCTTATGCACGTTGTACAGATGCACGAAATCCCGTAGGATCTCGTAGAATCCTGTAGACCCGGTTGGGTGTTGAAGGTGCAGGACCCTATTGTGTTTACTGCTATTTCCACTAAAAAAATGGGCCCTGAAGGCATTTCTTACGAACCCCTTTTCTGACAAAGATCTAGCTGGTAATTAGTTCTAACCAGAGTGAATAAACTGTAAAAGCGATTGTTTGCCATAAAAAAATGAGGCTAAAATTTGTCAAATGCGCATGTATAGCACACAATGAACACCCGAACGGGTCTGTACACACCTACGACCTTAGTACAGAAGTTCATACATCTGCACAACGTGCATATCGTCTCAGTACTGAATCTCTTGAAGTTGCACCACATTATCTGCACGCTACGTATCTGTGGTCATGCACTGAGTGTCAGTGCAAAACATTTCCATAGCACTTCTTATCCTAGGACTGTTCAAGCCAGTGTCTGCCAATCATGTGATACGTCTGCTGAAATCACATGCTCTTGTCTATAACTTGATTATGTGGGGCATTCTTCCCTTTCATACTGACATTGTCTCACCACAGCAGAAAAGTAAGCAAGTCAAATCAGAACTGAGTTCTTTCACAGCTCCAGTTACCCTGGAAAGGTCGTCTCCATGCCGACATGACATGTCAACACCTCGTACATCTACCATAGCTGATTAACTGGTATCCTGTAGGCTAGGTGTTCGTTGCATAGTATACTGTCTTTGTGACTCTGTGAGTGTGTGTGTGTGAGCTGACAACACACATGTACATCTAGACTACCATGTTTACATGGACACTCCAGCTACAGTCAATGTAACTACATAGCACATAGCACCCAGCACTAAATACAACTACCTAGTACGCGGTGTACTAGTCTACTGGCAGCAACCGTTGGTCCAGACAGAACAGTACCAATAAAGGGCACATATGCATACCCTGGTCTACTCCAAGTCAACTCCGTGAATCATGTGCACAGTTTGAGTTATGTACAAGGGCATGTACTTCGAAAGTAGAAGTGCATGATCCTATGAAATTTTCTCTGCTTTTTGGATGAATTGGGCAGACCACGTCGTATGAAAAGTGGTATGACGATGGTCTTACCGGTCATAAAGTGTGTGATGCCCCTGAGTGTGACACATAAATAACAATAAACATTCTACTCCCCATGAAATTTTCACTGCTTTTTGGATGAATTGGGCAGACCACGTCGTATGAAAAGTGTTACGACCATGGTCTTACCGGTCATAAAGTGTGTAATGCCCCTGAGTGTGACACATAAATAGCAATGATCACTGCAGAATCCGGTTGTACTAACTTAACCGTGCACCTTTCTCTCCCGCTGGTGTATTTTGTACTGACTTTGTAGGCACTCATTTCCACGGCGCTCTAATTTTCAGTGGGATTTATTGTCAGGCCGAGAATATCCTCGTTAACTCTATGGACGCTCAGTTTTCGCCGCGCTGAGAAAGGCAGTCCTAATGTACAGGACGCTGTAAAGCTTGCGCTGGAATGCGAGCGTAAGGCTCGGGCTGACAAACTTTGAGTATGCATTCCCCTAAAATAGGGCCGTGCATTAATGGAGGACCACTACAAGTAGGGATCTCAGCGCGTGCAGTGCGCAGGGTGTTTGCGCATACATTGCGTCATCGAGTTTTGAGTGCAGCTCGCGGACACAGCAGAAAAATGGCGACGGTCGATTTTCGACACTAGGGGACGCGGTGGACACTAGCGGAATCGTCATCTTCATCGTCGTTCGAACATACTTTGTAATTCCCGCCGAAGGACAGCGTGGCCAAGGCGATATTGCCCCGGTCGATTTTCCTATAATTTTCCATGCGGCAAGAACCCACTTCAGAAAGGATTCAGTCAAAAATTCAGACGTTTTCTCCGGTTAGATTGTCTCAACTTCGATTTTCAGTGCATCAGCCATCGCGAACATCGCCGCCATTATCACTCGGAGAGAAGACATCGCGCTCAGTAGAAGAGGTGTTCACGCTGCGTCCAAGAGTTAAAGATTGTGCTCTTTGACCCTCCATAGTTCCTCTGAGAGAGTGTCTGGGAGATAGGTAGCTTGGAGATGGCCGTAGAACGTGCTTTCCTGGACGCAATATTCAGCCATTTCTACTGTCTTCTTCAACTTGATTTATTTCGAAAAAAATGTTCTTTTCCACGATTTCTGCACGGGACGCGTTTGGGATCGAAAATCTCACCTGCGCAGACTGGCTGCGCAGTTCACGCGCTGAGATCCCTACTACAAGGACAGTACTGACCTTCAACTGCATCTCCTGGTCCTTCTCTCACTGCAATCACACCTTCATCATTCATCATTGACATTGCGGTACCTGCTGTATATGAAGGTGAGATCAGAAGAATCACAATAGAATTCTCTACGAGTATTGCTTGGATTGCCGGTACATTAAGTTCAGAAAATTGGCATTTTGACAATACTAAGCAATATGCTGGTGATTTCCACAAACATGACAGGCAGGTTTTAGGCTACTTTACTATGCTATGAAAAAGAGTTTGCGACTTCGGCGATCATTTCATCAGAACGTGGGTTGCTCCCAACACTGAAGCTAGCGCTTTCCCGCCGACTTCGAAAGTTCAATGGACTTCTTGTGTGATCTCAGTGGATGGCGGTTGTGAGTCAGTCAAGTGTCAAGTCAAGTCACTGGGAGAAAGTGCCATTATGATTAGGTATGGACGATTTCAATAAAATTCCTCATTTTCGTAACAATTGAAACCAAGGCTAGAACATAACGTATACCAAACAAATTGGAAAACAGCTAATATCATTTAGAACATTTCTGCTGGTATAAGACAACTGTAAGTTTATATAACCTTCAGCTGGTATGTACACTAATACAAAGACCAGCATCATCCATTGACTAGGATTCACCATCATGGACATTCTTTAACTTGCATCGCAGTCTTCAAATTGTCACTTACTATCGCTCTGTAAATCAATAGCCAAATTCAACAGTTGGACAAGACTACTCCCATCACATCCTGCCTCACGGTCGATCTTGATCAGGAAATCTTTATCCAGTCGTTGAGTGAGATCAGGACGGCGCAAGTGATAAAAGAGAAACAGAAAGCTGCCCACTGGGTACAGTAAAGACCCCCCAATTGCTGATTGACAGCAAAGTGGAAGATCACGCACATGACCGGCCACCTCACATGCCGTTCGATAAGTGCTGATACGCTCTTCAGCCAGGTTGGCATATCCAAATACTTCAGTGAGCACTATATCTGGTACGGTCGCTAGTTTGGCAATGATCTGTGGTAGGTTGCTCTTGACAACACTTGTGAAGAAATCTACAGACAGCGAATAATACACAAGAAAAACAGGACACATTGTTGTAACGACAATGTCTGGTCCAATAGTGTGTGTGTGTTTTTCCGTGTGTATGTGTGTGTGTGTGTTTGTGTACCGTAAAGTCCGCTGCAAATGCCCACAGCATTGTGCACGATCTGCTGGCCTGTACGCACTGACCCCATGCACTGTCACTCCCTCTGTACGAAAGTGCATCTCACACCGTGGCGCGAAGAGCGCTTTCCTACGGTAAACAATGTCCACTTGCCTGGTTTCAAAGTCTCTTTGGGCACGAGCTGATTTTATGACGTTGTTTGTTGTATTTCGCAAATCCAAATGGGTTTTGCTTCCGAATAACAAGGTAGCAAAGAGCAGAGTATTGCAGGAACCAAATATACTTCTGACGGTGTTTCAAGCCATCATTTCCAAATCACGCAACACGCAAAGGCAAGGGATTTTCTCGAGCACTTTAGAGTTTTCAACAAGTTGGTAGCGACTTTGTAGGAGTAGCTTTTGTGACATCTCCCCTGTTCGACTTGCAACTGCAATACTGCGACAGGTCAAGTCGTCGAATGACGCTTCATCAGAACAATCACCGTTTCGTTCTGAAAGCTCAACATTGTCATATTCATGGCACTGCAGAAATTTCATGATTTGAAAACCGAAATAATGGAGAACGAACTTTTAGGAAACTTCGCTTCTCAACTCCAAACTCCAAAAACGGTCTCTTCACAGCGATTCAAATTCAAATTTCATTTTACATTACTGTACGCCCAATTTTCGAGCCTAGCCCATCATCAGGAGAACGAACTACAATAACAAAGACGACTCATTTATCGGATGCAAAGGAAATCCCGACCGAAGTGTTTCTTTGCAGCAAGATAATGACAATCGCTTTTGCACAGGATCCTGGTAAGACATAGGCACTGTGTAGGCATTACAGTCGTTCTTGTACGCATTCGACCTTCATGCCAGTTTTCTACACATAAAATGACCTGAAAAAGAATAGTATGGACCCGCTGGGGCGAGCGTTTGCTGCGACGTGGGCGTTTGCATCAGACTTTATGTATACACGCATGTGTGTGCGTGCGTGTGTATTTGTGTGTGTCCCTGTGTGTCCCATATGGTACAGTGGACTGTGCAGTCGATTTCCAATCCAGAGGTTGCGGGTTCAATTCCCGACGATTATGGTTGCACACGTCTTTCTTCTCTTTCTCATTCTCCTAGCTCTTCTTTCATAATCCTGGGTGGCTACCAACAGCCAGTGTATGTCGGGGGATGTGGTGTGGCGTGTGTGTGAAAAAATGGAAAAATGAAAAAAAGGGATTAACTGGCCAGAATACACCACTTCAATCAGCTGTGTGGTGGATACCAGGCTAAAAT